GTGTGTGGGGTGTGGTGTGTGTGGCATAGTGCGCGTGCGTGTGCGTGTGGTGTGCCGTGTGGCGTGTGCGCTGTGGTGTGCGTCGGATGCGTGTCTTGTGCGTGTGCGTGTGCGTGGCGTGCGTGTCTCCTCTCTCTCTCTCTATCTCTGTGTGTGTGTGTGTGTGTGTGTGTGTGTGTGTGTGCGTGGTGCGTGTTGGTGTGCGTGTGAGTGTGCGTGGTGCGTTGGGTGGTCGTGCGCGTGCGCGGCGGTGCGTGTGCGCGTCTCTCTCCTCTCCTCAGTTCGTTCATCTTTTCTTCATCTCTCGTTCTCTTTCTTGTTGTGGTGTGTTGTGGGTGTTGTGTGTGTGTGTGTGTTGTGTGTGTGTGTGGTGTGGTTGTGTGTGGTGTGTGTGTGTGTGTGTATGTGTCTTATATATAGTTATATATAGTTACATATGCGTCTTTGTCATTATCAATGAAGGATGGGCTATATTTATACATATTTATACGAGCTTCGATATTTTCATCTGATATTGCTCCACATCGAATTGATTACTGGATGCAGGTTGGTGTATCAGAACTAATAAAAGCTTGATTGTTCGCAGGGAGTGTGCTACTGAGTAGAAAAAGTGGACCCACAGAGACCCGTCATTGGAACGACATGTTGCTGAAACCGAAGCACCCTATCGCGCAATGGCACAGCCTGCGGAACTAAACCTTCTGTCGTCGAAATGTATCACTCCGCGTCGATAACGATGTGATTACCGTAAGCCCTCCCATCCCTAGAACGTAGCTACTACTTTTCAGTAAACACACTAGAGCAGGGGGCGCTAATATGCAGGCAGTCATATTTCATCCATAAGCTGAACAGCGATATTAACCTCTCGCGAACCAAGTCGGATGATTAAAAATATCGAGGGAATTTTTATTTGAACGATTTGCGTGTAAAATTTTTTTAGCGCTCCAATGGCAGACTGCTTTATTTGCAGACGAATATCCTTTAAACAATGTTTCGGTCTATGTTAGTTATTTTTATTTAAACAGCAAATATTCAAATACAATTCAAGAGTTTTCAGACTCAGATGCGAGTGTCTGCATTGTGTATGCGGAGATTCCATTAAAATCGGGCCGAAATAAAACGATACGACATTGAAAAACGTACAAAATTGAACGAGAACGCTGACAATAGTTTGTCTATTTATGTTTTGGGGTCATTCATCATCGTCGTCGTCGTCGTCGTCGTCGTCATCATCATCATAATCATCATCATCATCACCATTATTATTATTATCATCATCACTCTATCTCTAACCTCAATCCCTAATTTCAAACCCTAACTGTATCTCGAATCATAACCTAACCCTAACTATAATCCAACCCTAATTCTAAGCCCATCATTGACCTATCATTTAGCCACCCATCCGTCTCCTAAATAATGATTTAGCCTTTAATTTGTACATGACTTTTAGGTTAGACTAACGATTTTTAACTGAAAGGAATCATTTTGGTAAGTACCATCTAATGCATTCTACACACAAAGGATTACGACCACAATGGATAGACATAGTAATGTGGATATGAAAACATATTCGTGGCGTTTGGAACCTTACGGTTCTTGGAATAGTTATTCACGCCTGATTATAGGTGGAACCATGAATGTATCGAACGCGTCAATTATGTGTTGTAATTTAGTGGCATTCAGCTCGTGGCAATGGAAACAGAAACTAATCACGTTTATACTATGGCCTACCAGAGAAAAGCGGAATATATCTAGCGAGCCGACTGTTCTTCTCGCTCGTTGTCTTCATGAGATTTCCTCTTAAAGTGGGTAGACACTGTATTAGAGTACATGTAAATGCGATGGTCGTTATCTGATCAGCGCACACGCCCAAAGTAAGACTATCGACTATAAAGATGTTGCCCAATTTTAAGTACAAAAACTCTCTTAGCATTTTACGCTAAATGTATAGTTTTTATTCTATGGCACAGTGACTGTTCATTCCGTGTTTCCAAAGAGCCATTCACGTAGTTTAGGGACACATGAACGTTGTTTGAATTCACATAAATGCTTTATGGAGACATGGGTCTATTTGTTTAAAGCGGGAAACAGTAGCGAATTGTTTTGCGATGCACATAAACACCTAGAGAAGACAGAACTTGTTGACTTTTAGAATATATTCGAGGAATTGTTGGATATAAATTGACGCCCTATGTAATGTATATACGTCATGTACAGAGAAAGCTTAAGGTTTAAGCTGTATAAATATTGTCGTTGATAATATATATATATATCGCATTCGCATTATGTTTGTCATGCACGGTAAATGATAACTGTATTGAACGGTTATAAATTATATAATATATCTAATAAAATGAATACTATATATTCCAAAGCACATTTCTTAATCTTTAGGATAGGGATAAAGTGATAAAGATAGACGGGTGGATGTATGGATTGATGAATGGATAGATGGATGGATGGATGGATGGATGGATGGATGGATGGATGGACGGAAGGACGGACGGACGGACGGACGGACGGACGGACGGACGGACGGACGGACGGAC